ATATATATATATATATATATATTATATTTACTATCATAATATTTGGTCAAATTGTCGAAACATTTAAATTATTAGATCGTATGAAAGTATGATTATTTTTCATAAGATGATGAAATAATTCTTTCGAAATGATGAACACTACTTGTCTATATTTAACGAAATATTATATCTTATCTCTCCGTGTGCTTATTGGACAATCTTCAAACGATGATAATTATAATAATTTAAAATCGTATTCTTCATTAATTTCATTTCGTAATCATTCGGCGTGTAAGAGAAGGAAAAACTTGTATGTAGTATGTAACGAAGAAAGTTGTAAATATCGAAAAAAAAAGAAGACTCTAGCGATTGAATTAATTAATCAAATTCCATTTGTTGTTAGAACAATATTGTACGTGTAAGAAGTAAGGAAGTAAGAAAGGGAGGAAAAAGAAAAAAAGAAAATCAAAACCAATTTTACAGTTGCACGTAGAAAAGCGATTACCGTTTGGTAAAAAATCCTTTTTCAAGTTCGGACGATCGTATTCTAAGCGTTATCGTAGTCGTTATCGTTACCATTTTCTGTAGTGTGTAGCCCTCAGGTGTTGGTTTACCCATGAGTGGTCCCTTCTTTAACAGGAACGAAATGTAAGTTGACAAGCACCCTTGCTACCTACCTACCTACCTACCTTGTCACCGACAACTCGTCACATCTCTTTACAAATCTGGGTCATTACGAGGGTTTTTCAAAAAAAAGTCTCTGTCATCTACCTTAATAAGAGAAACATTTTTCAAAAATAAAAAGATAAATAGAGAGAGAGAGAGAGAGAGAGAGAGAGAGAGAGACACAATATAAAGAGATCGCACATTTATAGTTTTATCGATTTTCGAAAATTCTATTCATTGTTAGAACAAATTATTGCAAAAAGAAAAAAATACAGAAAATTAAAAAATTGTTATATTGTTGGATTTCGTATGAATTTTGATTGATAGGAATTTTCAAATAAATCTTTTTTCGTTAAATGAATAAGTAACTGAAAGTTTATTTTATTTTATTTCTGTTTTTTTTTTTCAAAATTAGAAAAAAAGCACATACTTACGTGTTTGTTGGTGATTAATTGTCTGTTTTTTTTTTTTTTTATAATATAATTGTAATATAACAAAAATTAAAGTAAATTCTGTCAATCTTTACAACTACATTCACTGTCATAATTACCAACCACATGAAAAATATTATAAAATGCATATTACATAAAAATATTATAAAATACATATAGTGTATTTAGATTTAGA